TCATGAACACATGCTAGAATTATGTACTTTGACTACATGATGGTGGCCATTTCTCAGTTCTGATTGATGCATTAAATTTATAAGTGTAGACGCATGTAGATTTAATTTAAAATTAATACCAAATTATGTTTCTAGTGTAGACAAGGCCAATGGGATAAAGCTAAAATAATGATTCATTAATTGCTTTATTGAATGAATACATCATCTACTAAAAACTGAGTTTTTTGCGCAGTGTCGAAAGCTAGCGGTACAGAGTTTGGTTCATATTGAAAACAAAAGGTACATATATAAAATAAACTGTTCTTTGTAAATTGTAGAGCTTCCCATGTCACCACTTTTTGACAACTGCGTCGCAGTTGAGGTTAAAGAAATAGACTGCTGTCATTGCGACGCATTTGCGTTCGTATCTACGACACAGTGAGCGCAATGTCTGCTAAAGTATTCACTGTTCTCGCAGTCGGTGAAAAAATAGTCAATGATAAATAAATATCTTAATTTTTCAATTCGATGGTTTTTAAACATCAACAATAACGGCTAAATGGAGTATAAAAAAGGATACATCTCAAGTATACGAGCTCATTGCTTTCTTTTTCTATTACCAAGCCACTTCGTTTAGTCTCTCAAATTATCAACGTAAGCATCATGGATACTTTAATAAAGTAGTTAAAGTAGAGATTTTTTCACAAAAGGAGAGCTTTTTTAAGAGAAGAACAATTTTTTATAAAGTTTGACCAAAGGTTTCAGGGGTTCAGGAATGCGAATCTGAAATCAGTTTTTCGAAATTTTGAGTTCGATTTCACCACGAAAATTTTTTTTGTAAAAAATATATTTTTTTAGCAGAAAAGTTTCTTTTGTAAAAAAAAATAATCTTTTTCATCCAACAAATTTTTGTTAGATAATCAGTTTTTTCGTAAAAAAATGACTTCTTAACAAAAAAAAATTTACGGAAAAACTGATTACCTGCCAAAAATATTGTTGTATGAAAAAAATTATTTTTTTGTAAATCACTTTGTTTCGTAAATCTTTTTTCCGTTAAAAACTCACTTTTTCACAAAAAAAAATTTTTCTGTTAAAATAAACATTCTTTTACAGAAAACTTTCAGTGGTAAAATCGAACTCAAAGTTTCCAAAAACTGATTTCAGATTCGGATTCCTTAACCCCTGAAACCTGTGGTCAAACTTTATAAAAAATCGTTCTTTTCTTTAAAAAGCTCTCCTTTTATGAAAAAATCTCTACTTTAACTGCTTTATTAAAGTATCCATGATGCCTACGTTGATAATTTGAGAGACTAAATGAAGTGCCTTCATAATAGAAAAAGAAAGCAATGAGGTCGTATGCTTGAAATGTGCCCTTTTATACATTTTTTATTTTTCTGTTTTCGAGATTTTTATTTTTTTATTTTTTAAAATTTTTTAAACTTTTTCATTTCGTATAAGTTTTGAAAATTTTTCTCTTTTTTTAACTTTTTGAAAATTTTTTTACTAGCAATTTTTTTTTATTTTTTGCATTTTAAAAATTTTTTACAATTCCTAATAAAAATATTAATGAAGTGAAAACGTCACCTATGTCGCCTATTTTAGCAACTGCAATTTGTCCACAGTCGAACACGTGGGTAGACAGCAGAAGTAAAACTCTCAGATAGCGTGCGCTTGAATAAGAATGAAAAAAAGAGGACCGATGCATCATCTTCTCTCCTTGGATGTCGATATAGCTAAAGAGACGACCCACAGCCACATATCCTAATATCAATTATGAGTCATTACTAAAAGTAACATACAATTTTCCATGAGATGCACTACGAATTAATTGTAGCAAACTGATTTATGTATGCTTCCTGAAATTTTAATTCCTAAACATTTAAAAGATTATTTTTCTCATTCAAAAATATTTTGATTATTATCAGTCATCATTTTAATAAAAGCAATTGAAAATGAATTGACTTGGATAGAATCAAAGTATTAAAGGTCTGAAAATACGAAAGAATTTGTTTAATCTATTGTTTGCAAGAAAGTCACATGTAGAAAAAATACTCGTATGGAAGGTCAAAAGAAAAGTTCTTAGGTCAAAAAACCAGACATAAGATCTTCAGCTTCGCATCTGATATTGTATGATCTTGTAAGATATTATCATTTGATTGTTTGACCTGGAAAGTGAGATTTATAATTATGATCTTATACGATCGTATAAGATTTTCCAAGATGCTGACCATCAGACTTTGCCAGTATCTTATAGTACGATATTTGCACGATTGTGTAAGATCACACAATATGAACTTTGCGATATCCGATTGTCAGTAAGGCCTCGTAAGATCTTGTACAATCTTTGTAAGAATTTTTCAGCTGAGATATTTTAGATATAATAGTACTTATTGTTCTGATTTATTTAACATTATATAATCTAAAATATGGTTTTATACTAAAATAAATTGTGAGAAAACTGAGAATTCTAATAAAAATGAATCAGCTAGAGTTGATTTGTTGTTTAAATTAAAGAAACTCTGTCGAATACAAATTAGATTTGAGATGTAGGTAAGTTTGTTGAGAAGAATACATATGAAATCGATATGAATAGTTGAATTAATGATTTCATATGAAAAGATAACTCAATGATGATCGACATTCTTTTATTTCGATATACCGTTAGGACGATTTAATATTTGAAACAGTTAAACAATGATATCTTTCTTCATAGAATAAAATTGATATATGATTATAAAAGACAAAAAGTAACAATCGATCATTTTATTCATCCTACTTTGAAAATATTGGAAGACTACATCCGTAAGTATTCATGTCAGAATCGAATTTTTAAACATACATATAAGCAGACGTAACTTTTTTATTCAAACATCAAACAGCAGAATTTCTGTTTTTATTAGCTTGCAAAATAATAATCTTAATTACATTGTTACGAAGATAATTAAGTTAATAAATCATTTTTCAAATCGTCCAAATTTAATTTCATATATAAATCGGAAGACGAGCTTCTTATTTTTCTTAAAACATAATAACTTTCATCAAGAAATTTTTTTCGTACTATTTGTTTTCGTCAACTGTTTTTTTTCTTATCATGTTAAACTCAAGCGGTACATTTCTTTTTTTCAAATATGTCATTGTGCTTTTGAGTACTCTTACTTATGATGATAATATTAGTTTAGCTTAGTAAATATTTATTCGTAACTGTTTTGATAAATGAAATTTATGAGTTTTTTTTGTCATGAAAATAACAGTCAAAAAGAATGAGACAATTCACAGAAAAATGAATAACATCACAAAAGCAATTTTTTTGTATTACATCAATAATTGTTTTTTTCTATTGTATTATTATTTCAAATATACTAAATATATTTGTTGATGGTTTTACTTTCGAAATATTAGAAAAAAATATTATTTTGATTCAAAGTATCTTTATTGTCTTGAGTTTTTATTCGTTCCCATCTTGAGTTTTTACTTGTTCTTCACCTTGAGTTGGTATTTCTTCAGGACGTTCAGTTTTTTTCTTAGTATCAAAACTTAATTGTGGTTTACGTATATTCCAATGAAGTATATCAGCTAATGATTGAAACCAATCGCCTACTTGATCAAATCGACATATGCATGGTACTGGGTGAATACTTGTTGTCATTTTTACACTGAATATAAAAAAAGAAAAAAAAATGCCGTGTAACTTTAATTTTTCACCATAAACAAAATGAAGTCATTTTTGATTTTAATCATTAATTTACCGATCATTTTGAAGTAATTCAAGTCGATTTCTTCCATCAACTGAAAGCCATGCAGTTAGACGAGCATCTTCAGCTACTTTCACTGTAAGATCAATACCAGCTGGAACAACAATTGGACGAAAAGACAATGAATGTGGACATATAGGACAGAGCACCATAGCAGGAACACTTGGATGAACCATTGAAGCACCAGCTATAAATCTTCAATGAATATTCAAGATTAAAAACAACAATAGAAACATACCGGCCATTCCATAAGCTGTAGAACCAGTAGGAGTCGAAATAATCAAACCTTAAATAGAATATTATTATTTATTTTATACTTGAATCGAATGAAATTTTATCATGTGCATAGATAATTGAATACATCAAGATACTAATTTTTTAAACGTTCTACATATAGTGCGGCATGGGTGTGGGTGACAATAAAAACCATGAATTTTTTGATTTTGAAAAGAAAATATATTACAAAGATGTTTTAATTATGAGAACGAGAAACATTTCGTCGAAACACTGTACGAAATCACAAAATTTATGGCCTATTTATATAAAATTTGCGTTAATTTTCGTAAGACGTGTACAATCAACTTTGAGTATCACTGTATGTATTCAAAGTTCAAATCATCAGAATAAATAACAATAGCAATAATGTTAAATTTTAATAAAATTTCCTATTTTATCATATCCTATTGATGAGACTCGTAAGGCATAGATCATTCACTTACCATCACCTTGTACTTTAGTAATAAATTTATCATTAATATATAAATCAATATTTGATAAATATGGATTTGGTCCACGATCAATAACAACTTCATTTAATGCCAGATTCGACGTATCATCAACATCACTTGATGTAGATGTTTCACTTGTTTGAGAAGAAAAATCTGGTGTATCTGATGGAGATAAATTATATAATCCACCTTTAATAATTGTACAATTTAAACGTGTTCGTAATAAAACAGCTACTTTGCCAGATAAAACTTCATCTAAAATTTTGTCATGAAATTGAAAATCAAATGGAGTTAAAAATCCCAATGAGCCCATAGAAAATGATAATACAGGTGGACAATTTTTTTGAAATACACTCGAAGCATGTAAAAGAGTACCATCACCACCCAAACAAATAACTAAATCAATCTTATTTAAATCATCTTCTAAATTAGATATTTAAAAAAAAAATTAAAAATTAAATTTAATAAAACAATCGACTTCAATTACTTTGATCAAATGGAATACATCGTTCAAAACTTTCTTTTAAATCAGCATCACTATCAAATGGTACCTGCGCACGATCAGAAGATGCAACAAAAACATTGAGACGACGCTACAGTATATGATCAAAAATAAAGCTTTTAACTGATTTGACACTTTTGTTCTATCAATAAATGCTCTATAGAAGTCATTACGAAGTATAAACACCTTAGAAAACATCCTCTTTTGATTGCTCCTAATTTGAAATATTAGTCTAAACTGAAATAGAATAATGTTCTGAAAGCATAGAAGATCAATTTGAAAATTTTGAAAAAGAACACGACTTTTTCTTTACAATATTCATTCCTTTTTTGCTTAAGATCATCCTCAAAAATCTATCCATGGGTTAGGTACATTCGAATCGTATCAAAACTTCAGGATATTTTGGAACTGTAGTGGAGAGACTATAATAAAAAATTTTAGTTCTATATCATGGTATTTTCGAGAGATATTTAAGAAACATAAATAAAACAAATAACTTGTTTGACAACTCAAAATTCTCTGTAGGTCTTCATTCATTATACTTAACTTTTTCTGGTTTGAAAATACATTTCAGAATGCAGAGTATGAAAGAGCCTTTTTTTCAAATTCCTACTTTTTCAGGAGAGAAAAAGGATGACAAGTTCAATGTCTCGAAAAAACTCTCAACAACTGACCTTCTAATTGTAAAGGTGCTCTTTTATATAATTGTAAAAATGCTTAATTCAAAAGCAGGGACTTTGTCATGCCCTCCATCTTGACATGCTCTTTTAAACAAAGAAAAAGCCATCGGCTACGCAATAAAGCTTCTTCGAAAATCCCGAGATACACAAACAAAAAAGCATAAAAAAGAAAAAGTGAAAAAGATTTTCCACTGTTCCTGAAAAAAAAGCATCCTTTCAAAAACAGTAAACAACTGAATTTTTTGGAAAAAACGAGGTGCCTAATTAAAAAAAATCATGTCGTTTATGAAATATCAGACTTCAAGGTATTTTCCCATGTATTTATCTAAATTTTCATGTTTATGACGAAAATTGATCTTTTTGAGGAGACTTAACATAATTCCTATAGTTAATAGTTATCTGTCTGTTATATATTTCGAGATTGCCAATATGAATGTATAAAATACTTACTTTAAGAAGTTTCACAACAAGAATTTGAAATTCTGGCAATGTAGATAGTCCTGGTTTACGTATAATAAGAATATTACTAGGTGGTGCATTCCAATGAAGACGTTGGCTAGATGGATCTTGAATAACACTATGTATTTAACAAAAAAAAAATATATAGAAAACTATTAATAATAATAAATAAATAATACTAACATAAGTTCTTCATCGTTTTGTATTTTTTTAAGTGTGCCTTTAGGTCCAAAATTACATCTTGGCGATGGTGCAAAGACAGAATGAGTACGCCTGATAAACCAATAGAAATGTAATCGATTATTTCATTCGCAAAAAGTAATGTAAAATGTGTTTTATATTGCAAAATTTACCTGCGCATGCTATTATCACCTGAAATAGAAATCGATCATCTGGATAATGCAGTACGAAAGGATGATATTATAATAAACAAAAAGCATTGCATCGTATGTAAATTATGTTTATTTAAAGGTCAAAAGATATATATCGATAAGATAACGCTTATCCTACATATACATAAGTAATGGCGAAGTATAAGAACTGAAATTTTTTTTTCATCATATTAAGTAGAAGAATTTAATGCGTTATATTTCTTTTTAAAATTTTCTTTTTTTGATCAAAACTATTAATAAATAATTGGAAAATAAGAAAAAAAAACTACTAACCCAGTTGCTCCTAGCTTTGGCCGTCTGGATATTTTTGGTAATGGAGGAAGCACACAATCATCTTCGCTTTCTTTCATCACTTCACGATTACTATTATTTAATGTTTCATTGTTATGGCTAACACCACTTTCATTAGATTCATGATCTAAAACTGGAGGTACATTTTCGTTGGCGTTCTGCGCTCGTCGTTGATGAGATGATGTGAATATATCATGTTTAGAGCCTTGATTCATCTTATTACACTTGAATATAATAAGGATCGTTATTTGATAATAAAGCCTGCTTGATTATAATCGCGAATAAGCAAAAATAAAAATGAATGAGGATGAATGAATGATACGATCGATTTATTTTTACAGGTGAAATAAGAAAAATGAAAGAGAAGAGAAAGGTAAATATACTCTAGGGGCATACATATTATAGGATACTAATCATCGTTTAGCTTTTTCTTTATTAAGGCGCATATATTCTTAAAAGAAATTACGATTTTTATTTCAAAGGAAGTATATTGAAAAAGACAAATTTTTTACAAGTATGCAAATTATTTTTGGATCAATTCGCTAGTTTTTTACTGATATAATAAAAATGATAATCTATATCAATAAATCTTCTGTATTTTGAAATTCGATATTTTGTATATTATCGAAGGTAATCCACAATATAAAACGAATTCATCTCATTTTTTTTTGTTAATATTTATCAAGATAGCAATAAACCAATCAAAAATAAGAAAAAAGAAAAAGACATTAATTGTTTTGTTTTTCTTTCTTCTTATATATTCGAGTGATTTTAATACCATGAAATCCGTCGATTACGCGTTTGTTTTCTATATATCCTAGACAATATTCATTATCTACTCATGTCTCTGTACGTAACTGAGTTTCGGATAAAAACAGAGTACGTTCAAAAAAACCTAATAACTGTTATTCAATAAGATAGGAAAGAATGAAAATATCTTATCAGTAAATCTGATCGCATTATAAAATCTGGTACTTTCGGAGCTCCTTGCCCCGCCGAAAAGTTTTAGATTTTTCAAGCTTACTGTTTTTTATGTCCTAGATATACTCTTCAAATTAAACTCTATCTGCTATACATATTTCAAGAATTAATATGTGCTTGTAAAAGTCGAAAGGTTGGAAAAGACAGCTCATTTTCATTGAAAAACAGCAAAGTTTACAGATTATTTTGTTGCTTTTTGAAGTATGAGTTAATTGGCAAAAAAAGTTGAGAATCACCCTCGTTTCTCAACCATAGTACATCCGATCGAGCTGAAGTTTTGTTCCACGTATATTAGAAACTGTTTCTGATGCCCACATTTGTTTTGTTTTAAAATAAGATGTAACAGTGGTTTTTACCAGGATTTATAAAAAAAATTCTAGCGAAAAAGAAAACATGCGTTTGAGGGGTATACTCAGTACTTTGATTTTCGTATTCCAATAGAAGTCGATAAAAAAAAACAAAAAAGAAATTAGGGAACTTAAACAGTGTCTAATATTTGCAAAACAGAATTTGAACTCTATCAGGCGTATTGTAGCTGAGAAAGTGAGATGATTAAGAGAGAGACGGGATGACTTTTAGCATTCGGAGCCCCGATATCTCCTAGAAGGAAGCATTTGGGATCTTTGACCCTACGATAACTTTCATTTAACCCACCAACATCTATATATCCTGTAAGTTTCAAAATTTTCTAATGAACTGTTCTCTGAAAATACCGAAAAGGAGAGAAGTAGGATTTCACCTAAACCTTCAGTGTAATTAGTGATTGTGTCATGTGAACATACAATAGACTATTGATGGCATCGAGTATTTGTTGGCTTGTTAATAAGAACACTTATTGACGGATATTTTTAGTCGTTGTTTGCACAGGTCAAAGGGTTTGAGATTCTGATTGACTGACATAGAATACCACAAAGAAATGGATCCATAAAACGTTTCTTCTTTTTAAAATTTTTTTATTATATGCAATCCAATTTAAACGAGAAGAGAAAATATGTTGTAAGGATAACAGTCAGTGGAATTTGATTAAACTCAGTAATGGAGATATCTTTTAAGCAATTGAAAACGTGACTTACACATACATAAATAAATGAGTTTTCATTCAAAACCAATAGATGTCGACAAATTACAGCATGGTTTTCCGTGTATATCAAGCTTTTCTTAAGATGTGCATGAAGTCTACTATTTAAAAAAATTATTTCGAGAATTTTATCTACCAAACGATGTACTCAATTAAATTGATGCACATTATTGCTTCTAAATTTGTAATATCCATTCTATCATTTTCGGTTACATGATTGTTAGAAACTTTATAAGAATCTTTTTGTCATAATATTTATTTTTTCATTTCAATAAAAATTTTTATTGATTTGATAAACGAACAGTTTTAATCATAATCGAATTTTTTTACACTCAACATAAAAACCTTTATTACATCCATCAGCATAATTTGAACTAAAAACAAGAATAACTATAACACTCTTTGACAATTAAGTTTTCTCTCTTGTGTAGTCAACTCGCATTAAAAGAATCCCCAGAGAGTCTCAAGAAAAACTCTCCGAGAAATTCTCGTTGAAATTCCACTGGGAATTCGCAAGCAACTTTCCAAGGATTCACTCTGAATTTGCTTGGGATTTCTCGGGAATCTATGATGAGAATTATGATGGCTGTAAACAGTCTTATACGATGCCATTATCATTGTATTCACATCTGTAACTCGCTAGTGATGGTGCGATGACTTTCTCTTTCGTCCTCTCTTTTCTAAATATAAAAATCGAACTTGATTTTTCTTTTTAAATAATGCTTACCCTTGTAGTTGTCCTAGAGATTAACCTAAATAAAAAGAATATATATTTCATTTTTGGAAATAGAGGCTTTCGTTGTAATTGTTGTTGCTATTCATCTAAATACAAAAAAATCAAATAATTGATTTTTAAAATAATATTTATCATTGAAGTTGTTCTTGGTATTGACCTAAACATGAAAACTACATTTCATTTTTTTGAAATAGCACTTACAATTGCAGTTATTGTTACTTTTAATCGAAATAGAAAAAAAACATTAGAATTGGTATGCTGATATTGATATCACTGCCCGTTAATCTTCCTTTCCTCTTTTCTCTTTACATTATCTCTATTGTTCTTTTCTGTGTTCATCTCTCTCTTGCTCTCTCCTATATAAGTGTGGATTGTGTGTGAAATAGATAAATAAACTTCATTACCGAAAATGACGATAAGCTACTCATCCAGTTTGTCATTACAGTAGTCTTTTGAATTTTTTAGCAGTTTTGTACGATAGAAATTTCTAGTAAGGTATGCATCTAATAGAATATTCATTGCTCTATCTGTCACAACCAATATGCTTTTTGGCACCAGTTTTTAGGCGAATATTTTCCCAAAAACTCTGAATCTGCTGCTAACTTTACCTACGTTGAACAAAAACTCTTAAAAGTTATCCTGATTCATAATCTGGTCAAACTCGAACAAAAAAAAACATGAAAACTTAGAGTTTACATCACAAACCAATACATAACATTCTAGAGTAGGTGTGCGGATGTGAAGGTAAAAATAAGAGATTAGAAGTAGGTGGTTTCTTTTAAAATCCATCTCTTTATGAAGTATGCCTCAAGGTGAAAAATAAAAAAAATTGTTTGCTAAATTTTTTTGTAGATTTGCTAATCAACTAGTTTCTGTGACAATTAAAGCTTCACGCCCTCAGGATCTACAACGATTACGAAAGAAGTTTAAAATGGAAAGCAGCTAACAAACAAAAACACAAGATAAACGTCGTCGGAGTGAAAGAGACTTGGGACAGATGCGTGAAAGAAAACCGATGGGTCTCAACAATCTCATCGTCTTGTACGGAATGGGATTAAAGAATCGAAAGAGCCTCTATTGATTGACAAAGAATGCGTAAATTAGTAATCCTGGTCGTATGCGTAACAAATGTGGAGACTATTTTTATTACTTGCATCTGTTGGATTCAGGTGTGCCAAGCGGTAGCTGATTCCCATGCAGTTGCCTCTCGGTACGCCACTAATCGCCGAATTGCTGTCGTGGATAATCATTAGTAGTCGTGATCATGTATGTGTTCGGACGGCATTTCTTCAGCCGTTCGTTGTTGATGAAGATAATGATGATGGCCTGGTGATGACCACTCAAGCATTTGATGAATGCTACCGAGTTGTATTGGTGTTAGTGAGCGTTGTATGTGGCAATTGTCGAGGCTCAAAAGTCCTCTCTCCTGATGGCAGTTCATCGATTGCTCATCCCTACTGGCATAGACTCTGAGCGAGCTAACAGATTGTTACAATTTGATGGTTCCATGACCATTACTCTGTTCGAGTGTCGCACGGAATTTGGCTGATGTCTCCAACATTTGTGAGTGTTGCCATTCGCTCCTAGATCCATTCGTCCAACGCAGAGTATTCTGTAACCTTCGAGCTATTAGGTGATCTATCACAGTACCAACAGGTACCCTTTGTAGCTGGTCAGCCATAAAGAAATCAACTGAAGGTATCTACATGGCTTGCCCTGTACGCTCGCAAGCAAGTATGCAGAAGGTCATGCCCACACTATCATGCGTGATGGTTGTCCGTTTCCAAATGGTCCTAGGAGAAACATTCAGAGTCGAACCAATTATCTGCGCACACATCTGTTCTGGAGAAAAAGCTCCAAGAATGCGATCATGGTGTGGATCATCTCTTCATACACCTACATCTATACCTTGAAGTATTTGATCCTTCGTTTCTTCTATTAATCCATTGTTTCTGTGCATGTTTTCTACACACTTCGCATCAAAACTCTTTCTGTTATCTCGAATTCAAAGAAGGATATAATTATTAAAACATAAAATTTCAATTGTTCGAAATAAATTTATTCCTTCTTATTCTATACAAATTAATATGATTATTTGTCTTGTTTTAAAATATCCGGATTTGACAATGATCAATTAAACTATAAGACTCATGATCATTTATGAAAAATTATATAGGCGTTTTTTTCAACGAAAATGTTTGAATGATCTTCGTTTTCTTTGAGAGTCATTGGCAATTTAACCATTTATTAAAACAATAATTCACAAGAACAACAAAAGCAAAATGATGTTTCGAATGAATGGTGCTTTATCTCTTTTCTTTAAGATGATGGATTTTCTAAGGAAGAACAAACTGATTGAAATCAAGACAACCATTGATAATCAAGCATTTCTTTAATCAGATTTTTGTTTGCGAAATAAT